AAAAAAAAAAGCATTTACTAACGCAGATAAAATAACACAACTACTGAATACTAAAAAATGCAAATTAAGAACAGAAAGAAATATCATTTTACAACCACTAAACTGCAAAAATTAACTAGTCTGATAATACAAAGTGTTGGTGAGCGTGTAGACACTGCTATGGGACTTCACCAAATAGAAACAAGAAGACATTACAAAATTGTCTTGCGAGGATAAATATGGGTATCCCCTACAAAACAGCGATCCCCTTCCTAGGAATATACCCAAGATAAATCCTTATCTGCGTGACAAGGGAGTTATGCAAAAATATTCATAGTCTGCAACAGCAAAACTAGAATCAATCTAAATGTCTACGAATAAAGGAAGGATCGTCTGAGGATTATTCAAGCAGCAATGAAAACAAACAACATGCAACAACCTGGGTAAACAGAAACATAACACTGAACCAAAAAAATCTAATTTTAAAGACTCTCTACACTATGAAACCATTTTCACAAAGCTCAAAACTAAGCAAAAAAAACATTGTTCAAGGACTCATAAAAATGTAATTAAAATATTTTTTAAAAGCAACAAAATGAGATAACACATATTATCATTTAGAATAGTGATAGGACGGTGGACACAAGATTAAGCATTACTGGCTGTATTCCAGCTCTCAGCTTGAGTGGCAGGATAACAAGCAACTACTTTATTTTGCTTCATAAACTTACGTATGTTACATTTTTCTTGTTAGTTCAATATTGGGTTCTTCACAGTAGTAATAAATCAACATTAAATAAAACTTACATCCAATTCAAAAAACAGGTCTCTTTCTTTACTTGCAATCTCATAATCTGCTCGGAGGGCCAAGTCGTGGATTTTGGTACATTCTCCTAAATCCATGCGCTGTGGGAAAAAAACAAAAAATTTAGACCTGAGTGCCCACCTACTGTAGAAAGCATGTAACAGGACTTGGTATTTCAACTGTCACCAAAATAAATGATCATTTTTTGGAACACTAAAACTGTAATAAGAAAATTAAGAAAGGAGATATGGCTGAGAAGCCTCATTTCACTTTTACCATCGTGACTACATGATACTTGAAACTGATGCATTTAATAAAGTTTCTATTTTAGACTCAGAGACAACTGGACTGCAATCATGACAACTAAATTAATTGGCTTTTGTCGGTCTTTCTTGTTTGTTTGTTTTCCGAAGGAGTCTCACTCTGTCACCCAGGGTGGAGTGCAGTGGCACAATCTCGGCTTACTGTAACCTCCGCCTCCTGGGTTCAAGCAATTCTTCCTGCCTCATTCTCCCGAGTAGCTGGGATTACAAACACACAATAACACACCCAGCTAATTTTTTTTCTTTTGTATTTTCAGTAGAGACAGCGTTTTGCGACGTTGGCCAGGCTGGTCTCGAACTCTTGACCTCAAGTGATACACCCACCTTGGCCTCCCAAAGCACTGGCATTACAGGTGTGAGCCACTCTGCCTGGCCCAGTTTTGTTTATGCATCAGTTCAAGGATTCAGTAAATGGTAGCATATGGGGTGGCAGGGATAGCAAAGGGCCAGGGCTGGGCGTGGTGGCTCATGCCTGTAATCCCAGCACTTTAGGAGGGTGAGGCAGGCGGATCACCTGAGGTCAGGAGTTGAAGGTCAGCCTGCCGAACATGATGAAACCCAGTCTCCACTAAAACTACAAAAATTAGCCAGGTGTAGTGGCAGGGCACCTGTAATCTCAGCTACTCAGAGAGCTGAGACACAAAAATCGCTCAAACCCAGGAGGTGGAGTTTGCAGTGAGCTGAGACCATGACACTGCACTCCAGCCTAGATGATAAAGTGAGACTGTCTCAAAAAAGGGGGGAAAAAAAAAAGGAAAGGGCCAGAAAACAGTCTCACTGCAACAAGTTTCTAGGCATCCTGTCTTACAATCTTGACCACTCGAGATGCTCGCTGCCTAAGATGCAGATACAGAGGAAGAGGAAAGAGCGGACAGAAGTTAGGTGTTCGCAATTACATCACAACCTAACACTTGACTTTGTGTAGCTGATTATATATCAAAGGGAATAAAGGAGAACAGGCTGGTTAATAGCCAAATAAATGTTTTACACATTTTCTCAACCTGGGAAATGACCCTGGACATCTAAGGACGGACAGATAATTGTCCCACTCAGTTCCTCCATTTGACAAACAAAACGTTTGATTACTAAAACAAAATGATTTATGTTGTCAGTAAGAACAGCATGATATGCTATTATGTGTACCATATGCAGTACGATTAGATAACAGTGTATGATTTTAATCTAAATCCTAAGTATAGGACTTTATGCAGACACCTTCTGCCTCTGGCCATCTACACAGCAACAGGGAGGTTTGTGTGCTGAGGATCATGGTGTCAGGTTAGAGTGCATGTTAACAAAACTCAACATCCCAACTAGGAGACACCCCCAGTAGAACAAAAGAACATGTCTACATAATCAGGAAAAAAAAAAAAAGGGACGTTAGTACCAGTTGCAGTGGCACATGTCTGTAATCCCAGCACCTTTGGGAGGGCAAGATGGGAGGATCGCTCGACCCCAAGAGCTCAAGACCAGCCTGGGCAACACAGCGAGACCCTGTCTCTATGAAAAAATTAACAATCAGCTGGGTGTGCTGGTATGTGCCTATAGTCCCAGCTACTTGGGAGACTGAGGTGAGGGAATCGCTTGAGCCTGGGAGTTCAAGGCTTCAGTGAGCTGTGACTGAGTCACTGCACTCCAGTCTGAGCAACAGAGACCCCTATCTTTTTAAATTGTTTTTATTTTTGAGACGGGAGTTTCACTCCTGTTGTCCAGACTGGAGTGCAATCTTGGCTTACCGCAACCTCTGCGTCCCAGGTTCAAGCGATTCTCCTGCCTCAGCCTTCCAAGTGCTGGGATTACAGACATGTGACACCACGCCTGGCTAATTCTGTATTTTTAGTAGAGACGGGGTTTCTACATGTTGGTCAGGCTGGTCTCAAACTCCTGACCTCAGGTGATCCACCCATCTCAGCCTCCCAAAGTACTGGGATTACAGGCGTGAGCCCCCACACCCAGCCAAGACCCCACCTTTTTTTTAAAAAAAAAAAAA